ATATTTATATTTATATTTATTTATATTGATATTTATTTATATTTACCTCTAATATTTAATATTTATTATTCATGCATTTAATTATGCATTCAATCTATGCCTCATTATTAAATATAACCATACCCAATGTCTTTAATTAATTATCTTTAATTTGCATTAATTTGGAAATGAATAGATGCAATATTTTCAAGATTTCATGCATTTTATCTCGATATTTACATTTTAATCATGTTTAATAAAACCTTGCATTTATTATTTTATATTGAATATTTTCAAGATTTTATCTTTTTTCCATTTCTTTATCTCATCAATATTTTAAAAATTCCTGCATTTCTCCTTTTCTAGTGAATATTTTCAATGTTTTATATTTAATGTTCCATCTTTTGCAATTAATTTTATTATTAATTAATAATAGTCTCATTAATAAGTGTTATAATTGTATTGTAACAATACAATTTAATTAGGATTGTTAAATGAGCAATTATAATTAAAGAAAAAGTAATTATTGGAAATGAATTATTATAACACATTATTTATTTATTTAATTATTAATTTCCTTTAATTATTAATGACTTTTATTTATCACGATTTTTGGTATTATAATCTTTCATTGTAGTAAATAAAAGTAATAAATCATTAACGTTTTATTAATAACATTAAATAATTGAATACAATGAAATATTATTTTATTAAATATTTTAGTAACCATTTTTATTTAGTCGATTTTATTTGTATTCGTTTATATTTATTATTAAATATTATTAAAATATTATTATAGTATTTAATGAAAATAATTTATAATATTCAATGATATTATTATATTTTATAATATTTAATTATAATAAATAAAACAAAGAAAGTAAAACCATAATTAAAGCATGAAAATCCCTAGCAATAATACCATTAGTGATCATTAATTAATTACATTATTACTAGAATTAGTAATTACAGTATTAATTAATTACTAATTAATTCCCTCACCTGCCCTCACAGTTCTCTTGTGGCTCCCTGGGGAAAAAAAAAATTAAAAATCAAATTTTTCCGTGTTTTTGATGGGAAATTTGGCTCCTTCTCCCGGATTGGGTCATTAAGGGAACAAGTCGGATTTTCCCGATTCCGACGGATTTGGGATTTTCCCTGGATTCTGGCGGGATTTGGCATTTCCCTCGATTCCCGGGGGATTTGGGATTTTCCCCACCTCCAGCGGATTTGGGATTTCCCCGGATTCCGGCAGGATTTGGGATTTTCCCTGGGTTCTGTCATATTTGGGGTTTTCCCTGGGATTTGGCATTTTCCCCGATTCCCGCGGACCTGGCATTTCCCCGGATCCTGGCAGGATTTTGGATTTTCCCCAATTCCGGTGGGATTTGCCCAGATCCTGTCGGGATTTGGGATTTTCTTGGATTCTGGTGGATTTAGGATTTTCTTGGATTCAGGTGGATTTGGGACTTCCCCAGATCCTGGCGGGATTTGGGATTTTCCCCAATTCCGGTGGGATCTGGAATTTCCCCAGATCCTGGTGGGATTTGGGATTTCCCCAGATCCTGGCGGGATTTGGGATTTTCTTGGATTCAGGTGGATTTGGGATTTTCTGGGATTCAGGTGGATTTGGGATTTCCCCAGATCCTGGCGGGATTTGGGATTTTCTTGGATTCAGGTGGATTTGGGATTT